CACAAAAGCCCTTTGATTATGAATTTTGTGAATATCAGCAGAGTAGCTGGATTCATTCATGAATGGACAGATACAGAGGAATAAGGAGGACCTGACTATGCTGGGGAATAATGGCTGCTACCAGAACAGTGGAGGTCACACAAGGCAGAGAGAGCATGACAAAATCAAGAGAAGGCAAATTTAAGGTAAAGAATGCATGATGGTAGATGTATGTACAGAAGCATCAGGCAACCCTTCCTATCCAGAAATCTGAGTGGGAAGATTTCCCATGTTGGGCAAATGTAGGAACAAAGGATTTAAGTCTAAGAAATTCCCAGGTAGCAGGTAAGAAAAATATCCTGTGATCCTGCTGATGTAGGAGGGATGTGGAAGGAATTTCAGTTGAGTGGGATTAGGGGAAGGCCAACACTATTTTTTGAAGATCTGTCTGATATATCAAGAAGGAAAACTTTGAGACTGTATTCCTAGACAGAGTCCATATCCAACTTAGCATTAGGGTAGCAAGAGCCTAGGGAAGGAAAGGCCATCAAAAAGAGGGCTCATAAGGACCTAGGGATTGGAATTGCTGCGATACTCATACTTGTAAATTTTGCTGAAAGGCATATAAATTTTGGATGACTTTCTCCAGAAAAACAGTTTATCATTTGCAAGCAGTGATTATTTTTCTCAACAGAATATAGGCAGTTGGTGTCTCCATCAACCTTTATTTTCCTGTTTTTGAGTCATAAGATTACAAGGAGTGCTTCTCAGATAGCCATCACAGACTGACTAGAATCCTGGCACAAGTGAAAAAAATGAACTTTTCCATTTTCTACCTCCCTCTTCCCTATCCTTCCTTCCCCACCACACACACACACACACACACACACACACACACACACACACACTAAATCCCTGGCCATGGCTGCTAGCACATACTGGTTTCTAAGAACACAGGTGGTTTGTTTTCATTTGTTTGTTTTCTTTGGTGTTCTTGTAGGAAAAAATGATACTATAATTACAAAGAGCTACAATATCCAAATTTGGATGCTGTTTTGTGCATGTGGGTCTAACTAATTTTGGAATTGTGTAAAGGTACAATAACTCTTCAGGAATCTAGACAGTTTTTTTAATCATCTTCTCAGGTTGTTTCAAAGGAAATACCCCACGAAATTACCAAGGACCCAACGACTAAAAAGAAAATTTAAGATGCCTCCCTGGAATACTCTGGCTATAGAAACTGGACTTATTCCGAAGCACAAAAGGAAAACCTAAGTCAAAAGGCAAGAAGATGTCAGAAATTGGTAAACAAACAGAAAACTACTACTCAGTATTCAAATGAAATAGCAGAAACTCAGAGGAGAAAACAACCAACTTTAAAACTAGTTTTTTTTTCTTTAAATCAAAACAGGAACTTTAGAAAAGGAAGAGATGAGGAGAAATGGAAATTTAGATCTATCAAGTATAATTGGCCATTTGTGAAGGAATGGAACCAACTCTGAACCAAATAAAATTTCAGAAACCCAACTGAATATATGTGAAAATTTCCAACACAGGTAGATTCAGAAGGTAGATTGTAAGAAGCAGTGAGAGAACAGTTTATTGGAGCTTCCAGTGACTTGCTTCTGAGAACTTACATCAACAGGACTGTAAGACACAGGGTTAGCAACTCAGCTAAAGGAATGACTACACCCCCAAAGGAAGGCAATGCAGGTGAGCTTACCAGGGCTTTCACAAAGGAATCAGGGTCAAAGCTCTAACATCATGCATTTTGCTGGCATGTACTTCATCAGAGACCTAACTGGGATGGATTCAAGGACAGAAGATCATCACAAAAATCAGGGACATCTTCAATTCCATTCATTCATATAACAAATTAAGATTGAGCACAAAAGTCTTAGGAATTATTTAGATATTGGGGATCCAATACAATAAATGGATAAAGGCCTTGCTCTTGTGGAGCTTACGTTCTGAAGGCAAAGAAAAACCAAGTACACATGGTTTCAGATCTTGGTAGGAACAATGAAGGGAAAGGTTAAAGAGTAGAGAATACAGGTTGGCACTGGGGTGGTTTTTTACAGTAGGTTAGCACTGGAAGGAATTTCTGTAGAGGAGATTCGTGGAAAGCCACATGAATTTGGAGTATAAGTCAGAAGAGAAATGTTATAAGCAGTGGAAAAGCAAGTACAAAGACTGAGACAAGCCTAAGCCTGAAGTTTTCAGAGACAATGAGATAGCAAGCATGGATTTAGGAGGATAAGCAAAGACAGAATGGTAGAAAGTGAAGTGAGGCAGGCAGAGCCATATCAGGAAGGTCTTGAAAGACGAGCTAAGGAATCTGGACTTTATTTCATGCACACTGGGGGGATTTGAGCAGAGGAATGGTATGATCTGATTTGGTTTTAAACAGGCCCTCGGGCTTTTGAGTAGAGATTGTACGGCATGCGTTAGAAAAGAAGGAAGATACAGGAGTTTACTTCAAAAGTTCAGCCCAGAGATAATGCTGACTTTGTCTTGGATGGTAATCTACGGAAGGAGAAAAAAATAATCAAATGTATTTTGAAGGTAAACCTAACAGGCCTTGTTATTAATAGATGTAACATGGAAAAACAGAGAAATCTAGGATGATTCACAACTTCAGGGCCTGAGAAACAAAGTAAATAATTGTGTCCTTTGACTTTACATAGATTTTATTTTCCTACAATTCTCTTATGAAAAATACAACTATGCTAGTACATCCACTCTGTAAAATAGTTTGGCAATTTCTTTAGAAATTGAACATACACTTATCACATATCCCAGTAATTACATTCCTGGGTATTTATCCCAGAGAACTAAGAATTAATGTCCATATTAAAAACCTATACATAAATGTTCATAGAAACTTTGTTTTTTGTTTGTTTGTTTATTTTTTTTTTTATTTTCAGTTCTGGGGTACATGTGCAGGATGCGCAGGTTTGTTACATAGGTAAATATGTACCATAGTGGTTTGCTGCACATATCAACCCATCAGCTAGGTATTAACATAGCAGCTTTATTTGTAGTAGCCAAAAACTGGAAACAAGTAGATTCAATAGATGGTGAGTTAAACAGTGATATATCCTAACCATAAAGTACTACTCGGCAATAAAACAGATTAATTATTGATACACTCAAGTTAGATGGGTCTCAGGGGCATTATGCTGAATGGAGAAAGTTCATTTCAAAAGGTTACATTTTACATAATTCAACTTATATAACATACTCAAAAATCACAAAATTATAGGGATGGAGAGCAGATTAGTGGTTTTCAGGGAATAGGGATAGTTGGGGAAAACGAGTAGATTACATTTGAGAGAGAGCTTTGTGGTAAAGGAACAGTTCCGTACCTTGATTGCAGTTGTAATTAAAGAAACCTGCACATGTGATCAAACAACACAGAACTATATATATATACGCATTGTATCAATGTCAATTTTGATATTGAGTTATAGTTATATAAGATGTAATTATTAGAAGAAACTAGGTAAAGGGAACAAAGGCCCTCTCCATACTATTTTTGCAAATTCCAATGAATCTATAATCACTTCAAAGCAAAAAGAACTTTTTTGTAAATCTAACTACGCACAGGTATAAGGCAAAATGCATTGTACAAATATTAAAAGTAGTATGGTACTGAATACAGCATCTGACAAAATGCTGTCTTCTGAATTTATAAAGTACATCTTTGCCCATACATCTTATCATTTTGGACACGTAGGTATCAGTTTAACTGATCATCAGGGTGTCTCTGTGTGTGTAAGGACATTTTCCTGCTGAAAGCCTCTGGAGCAAATAGCACTTGGAATTCTCACTCTCCCTCTGACTGCAAACTCTAACCAGCAAATAGAGCCTGTGTGTTCTCGTTCCCATACCTATACAAGGGTGTATTAGACAAACAGAAGCTAAACAACTGCCAACACTGATGCTCCAATAGCTTTCAGACATGCTACTATGGAAACCACCTGCTTAGACCCAAGATATTAACCTTTCATGGCCCAGCGAATGTCCCTGGACTCCAAGAACTTTTACCACCAATGTCAAAATCTAAGCCTCTGTAAGGTGCAGTCTCAGAAAAGACAGCTTAAACAAACAAACAAAAAAAAAGATCATGATCCAAAGGGTTAAGAGGTGCTAATAATGCTAATCATACCTTCAGTACAATCTTCTTAAGGTTACTCTAGGTACCAGAACTAGGCCTAGATAAGTCATCTAAGTCAACTTGAAGGCACGAATGATGATGAAGTCTCCCTCAAGATCTTCAGAAGCAGCTTCTTTGGTATGTATTTCCTTATGTTCTGGTCTTCTGATGCCATCCACTCACAGTCTGAGTGCAGAGCACATGGTCTTGCGAATACCAAGAATTTGGTACTCAAACATACGTGTTAAATCCTGGACACTTCTGACTGCTGAATGGGCTTATATTTAGCAATTCTTTCATTCTCTCAAACAGCCATATATTCAACCTAGAATGGCTATAATGAAGACTAGATTTATAAACCCTTTCTACTAGTCTTAATTGTAAAAACCTATAAATTGTAAAAAAAAAAAATTGTAAAAAAAAAAAAAAAAAAGCGTATCCTAAGGTCAACTTTAGGAATTCAGTATTAACTAGAATAATTATAAACAATATATCTTACATCAGATCCAACATATCTCACATCAGAACATTAAAGATGAGGTAAGTCTGTGGGCAATTATGAGGGTAATTTAACACATCACCAACAAAACCTATAAAATCTGCCAAATGCCACCTGTCTGGATGCTGGTCCTGGTCCCTTCAAGAGAGCGCTGCTGTGTACACACATTAATATGTTCTGAAGAGTAAAATATATTATTTTGCATTTCTATTTTCTAAGGTAGATTAAAAAATAAATTGCATATAAGATGGATTAAATACCTTTCTGAAGACAAAATAGTTCATTTTAATCCTATCTGAGATTGTAGCCAGGAAAATTGTCAATAATAATAATTTTTTAATGAAAAAAAATTAAAATACTTACAGCCAACCATCATCATAGCCACCGAAAACATCTTCTCCACATCTGTGGTAGGAGCTATGTTTCCAAATCCTATGGTTGTAAGGCTTGTCATGGTAAAGTAGAGAGAGGACACATACAGTGAATCTTTGCTGGGTCCTCCTTCCCATATCCCTGCACTGGTATTGTAGCGATATGGAGTCCCAATGCTCAAAGCCAGCTGGTAGAGCCAACTGTCTATTTGGATGGTGTTAGTGACTTCGTCGATGACCTCATAGTCTCCGATGCTATACCATATGCAGGCCAGCCAGTGGGCCACCAGGCCAAACACACATACCAGGAGCACGAGGACTGCCGCTCCGTATTCCAGGTAATGGTCCAGTTTCCTAGCGACACGGCCCAGTCGTAAGAGACGCACCACTTTTAAAGAACTGAAGAGACTGCTGATTCCCTGAATTTAAAAAAAAAAAAAAGATACATCTTCAGAAAGAAAAAAAAAAAAGCCAGGAAACAATACAGTGGCTCACCTTTATAAGTTTAACCATCCATTCATATTTTAAGAACATATATAAAATATAGGTCTGATTTTAAGAAAACAAAAGTCAAAATGATAAACTTTAAAAAAAAAGAGATTTCTTCCTACCCAGAAATCCACATTTGTGAATTATTAGATAAAACAGATTTTTATTAACTAAGAAATACCCAATATATTTTCATAAGTAGAATATAAATGGTACAGAGAGAAACCAAAGATGAAAATTGCACAAATGTATTATATACAGAGTATAGAAATACAGGTGTTGAATTCAGACCTTTTACTGCCTTTTTCCTGTAAAACTTTCCCTCTACTCTAAAAGGTTTCTTTTCATTTCTTATTTTATGATAACTACAAATAGCAGAACTCTGAAAAAGGAAACAGTCTTACAGGCAATCAAACAGGAAATAATTCGGTACATATGGGGGAAATGAACAAATAACATCGTTGGTTCCACTACCTCCCCCCGCCACAATCATGAGAATCACTACATTTCTAGAGCTCTGAAAAAGTGAACAGAGCTGAACCTAAAATAGAGGTGTGGTCTACTAAATCCTATTCATCCTCCATCAAAAGCCACTGAAAATAACACTAAAAAAAAAAAAAGAACAGCAGCCAGAAAATTCATATTTTGCTGAGAAGCTTAAAATAACAAATAAGGGATTATCCAAATCAAAGCAAATCATTGAAAGTCCCAAAGTTACTTTTTTGGAAGCATGTAATTGGCCTCCTGCAGAGGTAGAATAAATTCATCTCTGATGCAGTTCACAAAATAGGCAAGGAGGGAGAATAGAGCCATGATCCAGGAAGCCTCTCATGAAGTCATCACCTGCACATCCATTCGCGTCCATGAGTTCCTTACTGCTAATCCTGTCTCCCAGAATGTAGACAAGGAATCTAATATAACTTACTCTGACATGAATTCTGACCAGCAAGGAAGAATTTGTTGTTGCAGTAGAACAGAAGTATATTAGTAAGACTCTAATTATGCATGGTAAAGGTCCTGACAGGTAAGAAGAAACACTTGGCCAGGCTCAGTGGCTCATGCCTGTAATCCCAGTACTTTGGGAGGCCAAGGCAGGTGGATCATCTGAGGTCAGGAGTTCAAGACCAGCCCAGCCAATATGACAAAACCCTGTCTCTACTAAAAAATTCAAAAATTAACTGGATGTGGTGGTGGGTGTCTGTAATTCCAGCTACCTGGGAGGCTAAGGCAGGAAGAACTGCTTGAACCTGGGAGTCAGAGGTTGCAGTGAGCCAAGATCACGCCACTGTACTCAGCGTGGGCAACAGAGTGTGACACCATTGAAAGAAAGAAAGAGAGAAAAAGAGAGAAAGAGAGGAAGGAAGGAAGGAAGGAAGGAAGGAAGGAAGGAAGGAAAGAGAGAGAAAGAATCAGGTTTGTGACACTATATTCTATAAGGCAGCATGTATTTGAAATTTTTCATAATGAAAATTTAAAAGAGAAAGATAACAAAGAGAAATAGAAACAAAGGAGTAGCAGGGTCCTCCTGCCAGGTTTTTGCCTCAGCTTCAATTTCCTTAGGCCTACCTCTATTTCAGTTGAAACTCTCAAATATTGTGGCATATATACAGCCTAAAAACAAATTCCCAATTCACTTTAACACTTGGGGGAAGAAAAGATGCTGAACTTTAGGCAGTTAAAAAGAGTAGAACTGATAAAGAAGACAAACTTGTGTAATTCAGTGACATGAGATGTTGGAAGGTAAGAGGAGTCAAGAAAGCTTGAAAACTTTCAAAAATGGAACCGTGTAATCACCAACAAGTAATACAAAAATAAGCATTTATAGAGCACTCCTAAATGCCAAGCTCTGGGATGAGCCCTGGGGATATGAAGATACATAAGCCTCGCTTCTGCTCTAAAGAAACGCATAATAGAAATACATGAAAAACTCAAACAGAGTTCAATTTAAAAGTAAAAACAATGTTGTTATAGGTAATGTTTTCTGCTTGGCTCCAACTTTTAAAGGAACTGTGGGACTTCTGTTTAAATACTACATAGAAAAGTCACTTCTACTACCTGAATTCTGTTCTCTGAAAAATAACTAAAAGCAAGAGAAGGAAAAACAAAGAGAAAATATTCACCCCATTCAAACTAAGAAAGCCACCACAAACCCCAACTAGAATATGACTAGTTAGGATCTACTAGAATTAGGTCCAAATGGTGAGAAGACACACATCCCTCATCTCTAGCAAGCAGATTGCTCCAAAAAGAGGTGACCCATCCTGACAGGCACCTGCTCTGGACTCTGCTTCCTCGAAAGCACATTTTCTAATATTTAGAAGTAGTTTAACACTACTTAAATATTATAAGATGTTTTATAAGCTTAAAAACTAATAAAACATTAGTAAATATACATACTTGATATATATACATAAAGTATATACAAAATATTAGTAAATATACTATACATAAATATAATTTGTAAAATGTAAAATTTCATATATATTTGATATATATACAAATTTGATATATATAAAGTATATATATTAGTAAATATACTAAATAAATATAAAATATTAGTAAATATACTGTATATATCTCTGTCTCTCTCAAGCATTATTGACTCTCTCTGCCATAGGTTCTATGGCACCACCTTCTCTTGGTTTCTAGCCAATCCTCCAACTGATGCCCTCTCAAAATCCCTTTCTAGGGCTATCCTTCTCCATGCTTCTATTTCATGTTAGGATTCTCATGCTTACCCTCAGTCCTCTTCTGATTCATCTACTGCATCAGGTTTCAACCATCTTCTATATCTGAATGATTCCCAGGGCCACTTACACACATACACACACACACACACACACACACACACCCTCTCTCCTGAGTTCTTGATACTAAGCCAAATGCCTGCTATACATTTCCACTTGGATGTCCCACAGGTATCCAAGTGATCCCAAAGAGAACCCTTTGCTTCTCCCAAATCAGTTATCTCCTATCGTGGGAATGACATCATTACCCACCAGTCACTCAGAACTGGGGGTAAGCCTCAACTTTTCCACTTCCTGTCATATGTAGCTGGTTATCAAGTCCTAAGGATCTCACTGCTCAAAGTGTCTTAGTGCTCAAAACATAGCTATTTAATAAATCTCTCAAGAAAATTTCCTTCTTTTCCATTCCCATAGCCTTGTTTTGGTCATGATTTCTTGGTTTTTATTCACTTGTGTGACAGGGACTGTCTCTCCATCAGCCATCCCACCTCTATTCTTGCTTCCTCTACTTCACAGATCACACTATAAAGGCTATCAGTCCCGTATTTTTTAAATGCACATCTATCTAAACATGTCCCTCTCTAATGTAAACTCCTTTCATGTTGGCTTATTGCCTATAGGAGTAAATATTAATTTCCAACTGTGACATGCAAACCCCATCAGGACCTTGTACCTGCCTACCTGCTCAGCATCTTTCCTGCCAATTCCTCTGCCTGCTCTCTAGGTTGCTGCCATTCTCAGATAGTAGTTCCCAGAATGTCCATGCTGTTTGATGTGACATTACATTATAAAAAGGTATTACCAGCCTTTTTAAAGACTTCTTTCCCCCACTCTCTCAGTCATCAGGACCTTTACGTACAGTTTATGACAAACACTCTCCCTTCCATGTGCACTTCCCTGACATCTTCTGCCTCTGCCATTTTTATTGTCATATTTTCCCCCATCCCCCACTTGGAGAATTAGGTGTCCTTCCTTTTGTTATCATACAGTTTCTACAAGTCTCTATTATAACAATTATCACTGTCACACTTACTACAAGTCTGTTTGCATGTATGACATCCCAGGAAACTCTAAATTCCTTAAGGAGCACATCTACTGTCAGTTACAAAACTGGCCTATGGCAATATGTTAAGCAGTCAATAATTCAGTAAATGAAAGAATAAACTTTTGGTAGCAAATTTTGGGGTTGAATTTTGGGGCCTTTGGTTAATTACAAACTCAGAATGAATTAACAGCATAATGCAGAGAACAAAATAGTCAATATAACTTTAGGTTGCATTAATAGAGTATGTCATTGAGTATAAAAGAGAAATTCTCCTTAATCTCTCCATTGACTAGGTGTATTACCTTATTTTCATGCTACTGATAAAGACGTACCCAAGACTGAGTAATTCATAAAGGAAGAGGTATAATGGACTCACAGTTCCACGTGGCTGGAGAGGCCTCACCATCATGGAGGAAGACAAAAGGCAAATCTTACATGGCAGCAGGCAAGAAAGAATATGAGCCAAACAAAAGGGTAAACTTCTTGTAAAACCTTATAAAACCATCAGGTCTCATGAGACTTACTCACTACCATGAGAACAGTATGAGGGAAAACACCCTCGTGATTCAATTATCTCCCACCAGCTCCTTCCCACAACACGTGGGAACTAAGAAAGCTACAATTTAAGATAAGATTTGGTGGGGAAACAGCCAAACCATATAATAGAGGTCACACATATAAGAGATCACACATATAAGAGATGTGTGATAGGTCACACACATAAGAGATCAGTTGAATATGTTTATCAAATCACATTCACTGCCCAAAAATACCCTCAAAACTCAACTCTATTAGGAAATGTGAAAAGAACTGGTGAAAGGGAGATTGGGGCAGGGCACTATTTATATTTAAATACACAGTACATGGAGGAGGATTGAGCTCACTCTGCACAATCCTAATGTGGGTAACCTGGAAAATAGTTGGAGCTACAGGGATAGAAGAATGCAATAAAGGTTTCAACAAGCCTGTGCCACACACTTCTAAGCTGTTAACCAATAGGAAAGTTAGGTCATTTAATGCTACTTGGAAAAGAGACATGGCAATAAGAACATTGAGTATCTACTACCAGCCAGGTACTACTCTGTTTTCTTTGTATTCATTAATTTAAAATTCAGAACACTCTTATGTGGAACCTGTC